CAGGAACAGCGTTCCTTTGCCCAACACACCACTTCGCCCCTTACTTCACCTAGACGGGTGGTAGAACTATCAATCGGCTGATCAAAGCCAAGCCCTGTTCGTTATAGTCTATTCAACTATTGACTCACTCACTAAACATCTTGGCGAAATGACATTTCACTTGAATTTCAGATATGTAACTTCTATTTTGTAATTTGCCTAGAGTCTTATGCCCAGAAGTCGGTGGCTCATGGGCCAATCTGGTGGAAAATATTATCCCGTATTTTTTTCTACTGGAGTATGTCATCCGGGTATCCTTGGGCTGCAAGTTGGAGACCCACTTGCTTTTAGCATCGTCTTTATGACACTCCGTGGTGGGCGGGGAGCTCGGATGATGAAAATTATATTCAACATGGCTTATGAAACTCCCTCCAAAAACCAGAAACGTCCACTTGAGAACGACGATGAACAGCGGCCCTCACAAACTATCGACTACTGGCCACGTTTCATTGTGATAGAGACTCTTGATAAAACTCCTCTGAAATTAATCTCCCTTTGCACTGAGCCACTGGAGGATCATCAATCCTTGTTCGCCAGAATATTATCCATAGCCCTGTCACACTTAATACTAATCTCCAAGCCGTTGCAGTGCGACTTACTTTACATGTTACTTTTACATTATGCTCTCTATATATTCCGCCGTCTTCAACACTTGTACAGGCTGATCTTCAAAATCTCTACGACCAACTCCAAAACCCTGTATTATAATGGGTGATATGAATGGGCACAACCCACTCAGGGGTGGTACACACACTAACACTAAAGGTAGAATACTTGAAGATTTTCTCTCTAATAATGACATATGTATATTTAACGACGACTCAGGCACTTATCTGCATCCTGCAACTGGCACCTACTCTTCACTGGATTTGGCTCTTGTAGACTCTAACCTCCTCAATGAATTTGAATGGTCAGTCCACAATGACCTCTAGGGGAAGTGACCACTTTCCAACGATACTGTCAGAAATTTATCCTTTTGATTCTCCATCTTATACAAGATAAATTTTCCCAAGGCAGACTGGTCCTTATTCCAAAATGTATGCACAATTAAATTACGACCTGAATGTTTCAGTGATATAGCTGATCCTATTCAGGTATTTTCTGACGTTTTATATGAAATAGCTGATGAGTGTATACCAAAGTCCTCTACAAGTCCACATGTACGGAAACCGTGGTTTAATACTGATTGTAAGCAAGCCAGAAAAGCGAGGATAAAGGCAGAGAATTATTTCCGCCATCACCCAACTGTCCACAATTTAAATAAATTTAAAATACTCAATGCAAAGGCACGTCGTACCTTTAAACAAAACAAACGGCTCTCTTGGAGGAACTATGTCTCCAAAATTAATTCACGTACGCCAATGTCCAAAGTATGGAACATGGTTAAAAGAATTAAAGGCAAAGGTTCAACATCTGCGGTTCTCCATCTTAAAGATGGTGATAATTTAATTACTGATAAATCTACAATTGCAAATAGGATTGGCTAAAACTCTTGCCAAGCATTCTTCATCAGCAAATTATGTCCCTGAGTTTCAGAAATATCAGAAACAGCAGGAAAAGACAAAACTTAATTTTGATTCGAGTAATGGTGAAGACTATAATGAAGTTTTTTCATTACATTAGCTACATACTGCTCTTGAGCAAGCTTATGACACCGCAGCGGGTGATGACAACATTCATTATTAGCTACTGAAACACTGGCCTGAACCATGTCTAGTCACACTTTTAGATATATTTGATAAAATATGGACGTCTGGAAACTTTCCTCCTTCATGGCGTAATGCCATTGTAGTCCCTATACCCAAACTGGCCGGGATCATACTGATCCTTCCAATCACAGACCAATATCTTTAACCAGCTGCGTCTGTAAAACCATGGAACGAATGGTACATAACAGATTAATTTGGTATCTGGAAACCAATAACCTTCTTACAAATATTCAATGTGGTTTCAGGAAAAATCGTAGTACCATTGATCATTTGGTACGTTTAGAATCCTTTGTCAAAAATGCAATAGTAACTAAACAACACGCTGTATAAATTTTCTTTGATCTGAGAAAGCTTATCACACGACCTGGAAGCATGGCATTTTGAAGTATTTACATGACCTTGGTTTGAGTCCGAGTCTGAGTGGGTTCTACCCAGTCTGACCATTACAATTAGGGTGTCCCACAAGGCAGTATTTTGTCTGTCACTTTATTTAGCATCAAGATCAACAGTTTCCAAGGTTTTAAAGGATTCAATAGATGGATCACTTTTGTGGATTATTTTAATATTTCTTGTCGCGGTAAGAATATGCACACTATTGAACGGCAACAGTAGATGTGTTTAAATAAAATAAATAAATGGTGTCTTGAAAACGGTTTTAAATTTTCTAAGTAAAAACTAATCGTCTACACTTTTGTAGAAAATATAAGCCTCATAAGGATCCAGAACTATCTTTAAATGGCACTCCCATCAAAGTTGTAAAGTAGGCCAAGTTCTTGGGTCTAATTTTTTGACTCCCAATAAACTTTTTGCCGCATATTAAATCACTTAAAGCCAAGTGCCTGAAGGCACTCGATTTGTTGAAAGTTGTTTCCAACTCAAAGTGGGGAGGGATTAAAGTACCCTCCTCCACCTATATTGATCATTGGTCCGCTCGAAACTTGATTACGGCTCTATCGTATATGGTGGAGCCTGCAAAAGCAACCTAAAACTACTTGACTCCGTCCACCACAAAGGTCTAAGACTTTGTCTTGGATCCTTTAGAACCTCTCCCTATTGACAGTCTCTACGTCGAGGCCGATGAGCCATCTCTTACACAACGCCGTATAAAACTGTCCTTGCAGTATATAACAAAACTTTATTCTAACGAGTCTAATTCTGCAATTAACTGTGTCTTTAATCCTCTTTATGAGGATTTGTACAACAAAAGTCATCTCTTTTCCGCCTCTTGGTTTTAGAATTAAACCATTCATTTCTGCTGCCGGAATTGAGCTGGAAGAAATCTGAAATCTGAAACTAATGAATTACAATATAAACAAGAATATAATCAATTACAAAATATATACAATACATACAAATCCTTATTCACAGATGGGTCCAAGGATGGTGGCGCGGTGGCATGTGCCACTGTCATTGATCCAGAACAATATCTTCTCTCGAATGTAAAATAACAGTTCTATTTTCACAGCAGAAGCTAACGCCATATTAACAGCTCTTAAATATATTGATAGACAGAGTAAATATAAACAATACATAATCTTTTCCGATTCTCTTTCGTGTCTTCAGGCTAATAAAAAATCTTTCTTGTAAACATCCAGTTTTATTAGAAATTATTGAATTGTATAATGAGCTTGCAACTGGCCAATACGACATCGTCTTTTGTTGGCTACCCAGCCATGTTGCTATCTCTGGGAATACACTGGCCGATCTTGTAACTAAGGCAGCACTCAACAAATCTGTGACACCACTTCTTATTCCATACTCTGATTACAAAGCTAGCATTAGAACCTACATCCGTGATCTGATGCAAAAGAAGTGGGACACCCAAGTAGGTGTAAATAAATTACATGAAATAAAACCCTATATTGGTTATACCTGCTTGTGTTGTCAGTCCAGATTTGAAGAGGTCATTGTGCGACGATGTCGCCTTGGCCACACCAGGTATACTCATGAATATTTGTTAAAAGGCGAAGATCCTCCGTTTTGCATCCCTTGTGATGAAAGAATCACGGTCAAGCATGTCCTGCTTGACTGCATTGATTTTTCCATCACAAAGGATAAATATTTTAATGTCAAAACAATTAAGGATATTTTTATAATGTTAATTATTATTTAATAATTGAATTTTTAAAGGAAATAAAATTATAGCATAAAGTTTGAATAATATGTTTTGTAAATAGATAAATGGTATTTTAAACATGGTAGTATGAATTAGCAACTGCGATTGTTAGTGGCTGTATCCTCAAAGGGGGTTAAAGTATCGTAAAATTATTGTCCTCCTGAGAGGGTACGTAAGTCCCAAACACTTTCAAAGTCAATTTCGCACAACCATACTTTTAATCGTAGTATTTCTGTTATTTTAACTTTCGGCTAAGTCTTCCTTCATCGCCAGGGGCTGAAGGGATGGTGTAAATCAGGATAGGGTCCATGCAGGTAGCAAAAGTAATGTAAGTCCCCATCGTTCCTAGTATGGTGTTCTAACTTCAGTTGTTGGCGATCTATAGCCCGTGTTTTATATTGTATTGTCTTCTTTAATTAAAATCTTTTAGTTTGACTTGCTACTTTTATGTTCATATATGTGATATTCTAGTATTTTTACTGTCCATCGTCGACAGGTTTTACTCTGTAAAATGTTTTCACTTTTAATTGTATAAATTCGTTTCGTCACGATATAGCTGAGATATTGCCGATGTGACGTTAATATTAACTCACTCACTCACTTTATACTCAGAATTCCAGTAAATTTAAACTTCCTATGGTGTTTAACTGCAGTATATATGTTATTCTAATGTTATGGCTAGATTGTCAAAAAATTGCTGACAGCTGAAGGGAAGATGCTGGGGTACATGTAGGAAGCAAAGTTCTGTAAGTCCCCATGGTCCCTAGTATGGTGATCTGCCTTCAGTTGTTGGCGATCTATAGTCTGTTTTTATATTGTATTTTCATGTATAGTTACAATGTTTTTAGATTATAATACTAGTTTTACATACATATATATACATATACATATACATATTACACACACACACACACACACACACACACACACACACACACACACACACACACACACACACACACACACACACACACATATATTATGTGATATTCTAGTTGTTTTACTGTCCTTCCTAGGCAGGTTTTATAGTTTAAATATAATTGTTAATAATATATATAACTTGATATAGTCACGATATGGCTGAAATACTGCCAATGTGACTTGAAATCTTAACTCACTCACTCATACACTCACTTTATACACAGGTTACTTGCTGAAAGGGGCACTTGCACCGTAATTGCTGAGCCTAACTCTTGATATAAAGGCTACTTGCTGAAATGGGATCCTTAACCAGTCATAGATGCACTCAACTCTTTATATACAGGCTACTTACTGAAAGGGGCCCCTGAACCAGTGATGATGGAGGCCATTATCCTGTTGCTTCTGTTGACTTCAGCAGCCACTGGTATGTTATCTGTAGATAATAATGTGCATTTTACTGTGCAGCTCATAAAAGACCACGATTGAAATAGGATATTGTACTAACACTACTTCTATTCACCAAACGTCAATTTCTAATTTACTCCTGTCACCCAGTTGCATATACTGCCAAGGTGACTTGTATATCCTGAAATCAACATATTTCAAATGTTTTTAAATAATTCTCATACAATGAAGGTGCAGTGGAGGGAAAGATATTTCCTTTAACCGACATATGTCTATTTACTTTCACTGATACCCAAAGTTGAGGTGGAGGGAAGGATATTGTGTCCAGAAATTGGTCTGCTTGGGGCTCCCCACAAACCTGACCTGCATAGAAGCAAGTAGAAGCCACTCCTTCATAACACCCAATGGACACACAGCAGGATCATGTAACACAACAGCTGGGTATTGCATAGACAATGGCAAGTTCACAGCGTCTGTCATCAATACCACCTCCAGTGTTCTAACCATACATGCCTTGTTGAAGTCACACGCTGGCTCCTGGATATGTGGCAGCGGTGCCGATATGCCTGATGCCCCTAGCTGCCTGATGACTGTGGCAAGTAAGTAGACATCATGTACACGTGTATGTTGTTGTCCTAGCTGCCAGATGACTGTGGCAAGTAAGTAGACATCATGTACACGTGTTTGTTGTTGTCCTAGCTGCCAGATGACTGTGGCAAGTAAGTAGACATCATGTACACGTGTTTGTTGTTGTCCTAGCTGCCAGATGACTGTGGCAAGTAAGTAGACATCATGTACACGTGTTTGTTGTTGTTCTAGCTGCCAGATGACTGTGGCAAGTAAGTAGACATCATGTACACGTGTTTGTTGTTGTCCTAGCTGCCAGATGACTGTGGCAAGTAAGTAGACATCATGTACACGTGTTTGTTGTTGTCCTAGCTGCCAGATGACTGTGGCAAGTAAGTAGACATCATGTACACGTGTTTGTTGTTGTCCTAGCTGCCAGATGACTGTGGCAAGTAAGTAGACATCATGTACACGTGTTTGTTGTTGTCATGGCTGCCAGATGACTGTGGCAAGTAAGCAGACATGTGTTTATTGATCTTCTACCAAACAATTACAGATTGTAGACACCTTCATCAGCTGTATTCAAATTACCAGATCCTGCTAGACAAGCAGTGGCATGTTGGTTATGTGTAAATATTTTTTAATGATAGTTTGTCAAACAACTTTTTATTTTCAGGACACAAATTCTGCAAAACCCACCGAGTTGGTCTGATGTTTAGATTATGATCAGCGTTTCATTGAGTATTTTATGTTCATTAGTTTTCGAGTTAGATTGCAATTCATCGGTCTGCTTTTGAGCCAAACGGACTATATACATAGTTAACAAAATATACAAATGAAGTTTAAAGTGTTTTTAAATACTTATTTCTTTTATATATAGGCCTGAGATGGACATAATAGACTTTTAAATTTATGGATAGAAGGGAATTTCCAAAAGTATTCCGGAAGAAATGTTATTCTCAAATCATTGTACAAATGACATATAAGGGTGAAATGATACTGAGCGAGCTTAAGGTTCCGGGATCGAGCCCACCTGTGACCGGGTGTAAAAACCTTGGAGTCAGCCTTGTGTGCAGACTCTTTTAGTGTTGTCACAACCCCTAGTGTTCAGTACACAACCCTGTGCACTTTAAGGAACTCACGAATCCGTTTGTAAATGACCATATGGTGGCCATGTGAATACGTGCATATACCCAGTTGCTGGTACAGTAACGTGCACAGTATAATTGGACAAAATATTGTGACTATGTGTCCCAGTTCTCCCAGCTGCAAATGGGTACCTTGTGAGGATGAGGCTGTGAGATAACTCACTGCGCCTAACAGGCTGCATGAGTTGAATACTCCCTAGGGAGTTGAGTTGGTGAAAAAATAAGAATGCCAGAATAAAGACATCCGTTGATCAAGGGAACACTCGAGCGCCTTGAGCATGTACTAGTTGCGTGGATATGTGCGCTGTATAAATATCCTATAGTGAAAAGCAAAACAAAACAAAACAAAACCCTCACAATTGAGAGAAGTCAACAGAATAAACCAATCTGTTCCAATCACATAACCTTATCAGGCAATTTACAAACTGACTGAGTGAAACAGGCAATTTACAATTTGTAAATTTCATTGATTTTATTCACTGGCTGTAACACTTACACGTTACTTTAGTAATACAATATTCCTGCCCAGGAAGTTGAAACCTAGTTCCCCATCGTTCAAACTTTAAATCTGTAAACTGAGGAAATTATGATTTTCTTTTTTTCATGGTCCACTTCCATCACAAGGAGTGGAGGAAAACAAACATTTGCTTAATGTGTTGATCTGTTTCAGAATTCCCAACATGCACTATAACAAGAAGGCAGAATGATGACAGTGTCTTCACCGTGGACGAGGAAGTGGCGTTGAAGGTGAACGTAACTGGAGACTACTGTTCTGAGTCGGTCCAGTTTCAGTTGCAAACAGGAAACATTCAAACGGGTTTGAACTACTCACAATGGAAGCAAAACACAGATGTCATATTCACTCTGACTGAGTCTCACCTCGGGGAAGTGAAACTGGTCTTCATCTGTGGACGATACAGCCAAAGCGTTACCATGTGAAGGGATTCAAGAACTGAGTGAGTGTAATACATTTTGAATATTTAAGACAGGAACTTCATAATAATGCGTGGATAATGATATCGAATTGTGGGAGGATGAGGCATAACATGAACGATCTGTCCTTATGACAATCATTTCATTATCTCTATTTTCCAGATGCACAATTACGTTACAGCAACTATCAGCATGATACACATGAAACAGTCAAATGCAAATGATAACATTCCAGCGCAACCGAGCCACAAATTACCAGGACCTGCCAATATTCATTATTACAACAGTGCCATAGTATCAGGCACCATATAGCTTTATTGGAACTAATTTCAATTGCTAACTGAATTACTAATGTCTGACTTAGGAGAAGTTGTTGTTAGATTCTATATTCCTTGGTAGATATAATATTGTTTCTGAACTAGTTTGGCCTTACCTTTTGTGTAAAACATGGACTATGTGACCATAAAAACTACACTGAGTGAAATGCTGTATTCATGTTTCTAATCCAAATATGTGATCGTTACTAGAACCAATACGCTTCTTCTTATATTCCAGGAAATGTTTCCTCTTCTACGGTGAGGAATCACTTACGAACCTCGACACTTGCACCAGGGATATATACATTGAATTTCATAGCCCCTGTTTGTATTGTCAGCGTTCTTCTTGTCTTGGTTATCGTCATCTCAACTTTAATCTTCTTGTGCAAGCGACGTAACAGACATCGTACGTCAAAGATGGTAAATGCACTACATAGTCACATGTCTCGTGACGCAGGGTATTCCAACATCTGTGTCGTGGAGGGAGCAGTTTCTTGGGCAAATATCGCGAACAGGTCACTTCCACCTACACCAGGTGTTCAAGATACCGTTACAGATCCTGGGTATGCCGCCATGGCAGAAGGCGCTGTCAGCATGGCAGAGACACCTACAACAGATACATCGTGTGCTGAAGGATCAAACCCGATTGCTAATCCTGATGACATGGTGATGCACGTTAAGTCAGCCCTATCAGCTCCCATAGGGATGGGTGACATCGACAGAAGGTCAAGGTCGCCTCCTCTATTTGAACCTGGCATTGAAGGGAAAAAAAACATTTGACAATCCTGATAGCAAAATGTTGCACTCTGAGTCTCTGAGTCAATCCATTCTGTTTGAGGATCCAGGGTACTCTTCAGTCGGAGATGTCATTGTGACAAGGTCAAGGTCAATCTCAGCAAGAGGTTCTTGCACTAAAGGAACCAGCCCAGTTGCAATACCTGAGGACACTCTCGTGAATGACTGCAATGGTGCTGCACCAGATGTGCCTGAGCTGTATGCCAAGGTTGTTAAAACAAAAGACAAAACAGAACCAGAGGTGTCTGGCGTTTCAGTGGTTGTGCTAATGTAGTAGCGGACGAGGTTCCAGTAGAAAGAATAATGCGGAACAGCTACTGGGTTGTGAGCCGACAGCAATCTCTTTATTGTGTAAACACTAATCAGTTTCCAGCTCTGTAAATATTATATTAAAATAATATTAAAATATCTGATAAATTAATTACACCAGCCACATCACATAACATCTATGAATTATACATGACTAATGTACAAAAGGGAACATTAGATACAGTTAAACTGAACAGATTAACTCGTACAGATTACAATGTATACTTAGGTTGCCGACACATTACTGTCTCCACAAATTATCAAGATATACAGTTAATATATACAATATGTACACCTGACTTACCACTGTGTGGCAATGAGCTGGCAGCGATTAAGTTGACAGTGTCCAATCGGGATATTCTTATAGATACATAAATAGAAGTGAGGTCCACAGTCACTCATTCCACAAAAAACAAACTATTCGCTCAGCATAACGTGTAGGACCTCTGATTTGTAAGAGTAGTGTAGTGATCAGTGCTTCCGCACTCGTACATCGGGTTTCATCGGATTGGCCATCCAGTGATACTCGCATGTTTCCGGGTGTGATCGGGGCACGTGATCAACTTACCCGCCAAATCTGACAGGTGACAGATGACAGATCAAGACGAGACACTGAACCGAACGGACGCATATTGCAGTATACCTACAGAACCCTTGATCTCCCCATCATCTACGCTTACGAAGCAAGGTAAAGCGCCTTTCCCTATCACTAGGCTTTCACAACAATGGCGCTGTGAACAGGATTAAGCCTTTGTGAAATTTGTGACAAAGAAAAATATGTCGCGACAATGGGAAAGGACTGATGAATGGGTCACGTGATCCTTATATAGAGCAAAACTCGCTGTATGGAGCATTTTAAGCTTTTTCAATGGCTAATAGAGTAAAACCCCAATGCTCTTTTAGTTTTATATTTATCACTTTTTCGGCCGTAAACAAATCCCTTGCAATGTAAAAAACATAGTAATATCAAAGGGTGTTGATGTATCCACTATCCATGTGCTTGTTCATGTCAACCGCTGGAAGCTGCATGCCTAGCACCCGGCGTATTACGTGTAAATTTCATGGTGTTGATTGCAGTGTTGCGATGTACCTAGCTGTCAATCACTGTCGCTGGATACATGGCAACGCTGTAGCAACGTTCACATGGCTTTGCGTGGTTTGTATTTAATCAAATTTCTGTCAACATATTTATATATGTGTAGTGTTACCAATATGTATCCATTTATATTATTATTGTATATGTTACATGTATTTACATTAATGCACGTTATAAAGTGGGTAAATATTCTGCAGGTCTTTTCATTGATGAATGGGTTGGCAGGTATGTATTCACTGTGCATTATTGTTTAATACAAGGCTTTAGGTTGACACTTCTGCACTCAGTTATTCTGATGACTGACAGCGGTCAACTGTCACCTAAGTCTGGGGTTATAAGTTATGTGTATTAGGTTTTATTATTATACAAGGTTTTAGGTTGACACTTCTGCACTCACTCACTCTTGTCAAGACTGACTGACAGCGGTTAACTGTCACCTAGGCCTGGTGTGTATATTATTTGTTTATTATTTACATCCATTTGGTAAAGTGTGGTAGCTTGTTCAATATGTTAGTGTTTATTTATTTGTCATTTTTATAATCATGTTTATGCCATGCATGAAATATGATTGTGTTATATTAGCTTAGGTCAAACGTTAGATTGTGCAAGTGTTTCACCCTAGTGTGGCCAGGTTGCATTTCAGCATTGGACGCCCGCTGACCGTACAGATTATTCTTAGGTATACCATTTGCCATAGTTTATTGCTGGTACAGTTCTGTTATCTTGCCTGCAATGTTGTGTGTGTGCATCTGTAAGTCTGGTAGTGTTAGGTAAGGGTAGCTTACGCTTAGCGGCTGAGTTGTTTGTCCTCCGGGAACGATATCGTTTACTTGGTTCTGGTTTGTGAAGCCTGTAAGTCCGGTTGCTGACAATATGCCGTCCACTTTAATGCTCTGTCCTTCATACGAACGGCAACATTCTACTGGTCCGCAGTCAGTATATTCGGCAACGTGGAGCATTCTTCACGATCAACTGGCGCTCTATCCTTCTTCGGACAATGGGCATCGCAGTCTGCTGCCATTGCCTCGCCCCTGTCAGCAACGTGTAGCACAGTGTTGTTTGGGTTGGTATCAGTTCTCTATCGGTGGTAGCTGTGGTTGATCGTATGTCTCGGGTCTTCTCTGCCGCCATGGTCTCTTTGCTCAGGTGTAGACTCGTTACATGGGCTGTAACCTCCACCTTCTATCCTTTGACATATACAGAGTTTGTCTTATCCATAATATTGGCAACTCTTTAGCTAGGTTAGTTTAAGGTTATACAGCTACCATATAAGTACCCATAGGTCAGCTTGGTCTTACCTCAGGTTGTAGTACAAAGAGCAAGAATACTGCAGGGAAGGCTCGAACACTAATGTTCCTTTCCCAACTGTATTCGTTCCAAAAATGGGGTTATTTATAACTTGTACTAACTTATCATATATTAAGTATGGTTGTTGGATTATTTCAGATAATCCAATCATGCCACCAGTATATATTAATCTGTGCTCTGAGGAGGAACTCAGGCTTATTCCGGGAATAGGGATGAAACTGGCCCGGAAAATTGTGGAACTCAGAGAGACCCTCGGTGTACTGACGGAGGAGGATTTCCGTGATCTCCCTCTATCAGGAACCCTGAGCAGGCTCTTAGCGCCATCTCCTTCGCTGTGGAATATCCTGGTATTGCAACTGCAGGCTCTTGGTCTCCGAGGATGGTGGAGCAACAGGCTTCAGGGCAAGCTGCACCATCCACATCCAAATCTAAATCAGTTTTTTGGACAGTTTACCCCTGTCACCGAAGGTACACCAGGTAGATTGTCCGATACTGATCAAAGGTTCCAGAAACCAGTCACCAGTACTGACGCTGATGCTATTCAGTCCAACTTAAGACAGTTGGAATATGCGGAAACCAACTTGCAGGCCAGGCGTAGAGGACTTACTCCACAGAGTCATAGTGCTCTCTATGACCAGTGGCAGGCGGCCTCTCATGATTTCAACAGGGAAATGGAAGCTTTTTCTGATGTTCTTGCCAATCTGGAAGCCAGTGGCCCTAAAGATCTGGTATCTGGCCGTCTTGCCAAGGCACCCATGCCTAACCCTCATTCTGTGGTACATGGTATGGACGTGTCACGGCAGAGTTCAAGGACAAAGCCCAATACTGAGGAGATCGACCCCCTTGGGTCCTCCAAGGTGCTGATGGGAATGTCCATCAGAGACATGCTCTAACCCCTGGGTATAGGGAACGGAGGGGATAGGCCAAACCAAAAGAATGGCCCCTCAACCAATCCTATTTAACTCAGCCCAGGGGAAAAACACACGTGAAACCCCATCCACCCAAGGGACAGCTAGATCCAAGTCCCATCATCCTCAAGCTGTACGAGATGACAGTCTACGAGAGAGGGCATCGAGAAGCAGGGAAATCTCCGATAGAGAATCAGAAGGAGATGAATATCTGTTTAAGCGGAACGGGAGCGACCCCGTTGGGCCTCCTACTTCCAGTACCCCTGCTGGGCCTAGAGAGGAAATGTATCTGGAATCTGGGACAGAAGATGGTTTGTCAAGATATACAGATGGGTACCCTAGGATTAACCATGCCTTAAGGGATTATCCTGTATATGGAGACACACATGACCATTCGTATGGTAGCCATCAACGTTCCCGCTCCCAAAGGTCTCACATATATGGAGACTATATCGACCATGAGCCAAGGGAGTATTATTCCATAGAAGGTCCTAATCGATGCCGGGTGGATGCTACACATCCTGTGGCCCGCAAGCCAATCAGTTGCGGGGAACTCCAGCCACTCCGAGATCATTCTGGATATTTTGCTGATGGTCTCGCACCTGCCCCCAGAGATAGGCAGAGGATGTGTAAACCTCTACGTAACGAGAGGGTAGACAGGATTCAAAGAGCTCCTCATCGTCATCAAGCCGCCTGGAGAGAACCGTTAGGCTACTCTTCGGATAGCGACTTGGATGAGGTTCAGCCTAAACATATTGGGAGGAAACATCGAGCAGATGGGGATAAACCAACAGCTTCACTACCGCGGATGTTATATGACGGTAGTACAAGATGGTCCTCCTTTTATATGAAATTTCAACGTTTTGCTCGCTCTCAGTCATGGAAGGATGAAGAAAAGTTAGATCAGTTGTGTTACTGCCTAACCGGTAAAGCAGCTGACTTCTTTGCCCTATTGATAGAGAGAGATGAGTTCATCTCTTTCCAAGGAATGGTGAAGAAACTGGATAGGCGGTTTGGGGAAACAGTGTCATGCAGAGACTGCCCAACTGCAGTTTCCAAACCTTCGTCAGAACTCGGACGAGTCCTTGGAAGAATGGGCGGAGCGTGTACTTCAAGTTGCGATTGCTGCCTTTCCGGATTTACCAGATGACTTTGTGGAACAACAAGTGGTGCGGAGATTCTGCCAAGGATGTGCTAATAAAGAAGCTGCCCACTATGTTTCAAACCTGGGATTGAGAACTCTGGAATCAGCCATGGATGCTGTACAGAAATACTTCCAGAACACCCAGGCAGTATATGGTAGACCAGTCATTAGGCGAGATGTGAAGCAATCAAACTTGGCCAATGATTCCGAGGAAGATGAATATTCGGTGTCGCAAATGACTTCTCAGTCGAATCACACTCCTTCTCAGGATAAGCGGCAAACTCCATCACAACCCGTAAGGTACAATGTGGTGGAACGTTTGACCCACCTGGAAGCTCGGGTTGAGGAGATGTCAGCAGACATACGGAAGTTGACAGCCATCATGAGTCGACGGTTTAGAAGCCCCTCGTCATCACCAACAAGATCGGGGGAGTGCTTCAAATGTGGGAAAACAGGCCATTTTTGCAGAGATTGTCCAATCAATTCTAACGATAGTAAATGAGGAGAGAAAAAGGTCACTTTTAATGCTCAGGAAAAGGATGTTAAAGCAATACAAGATGCAACTGAGGCTTTAAACATGTCCGGATCGAGCTCGGAGGCCTAACCTCGATCCCAGTTGAAGAAGGCCAACAACCGCAAGTCGCTGACGGTCAACAAGTTGAGACTCCTTGGACACAATATCTGCCATTGTTAGATCCCGCTGGACATGACATGCCTTCAATGACCTCCTGCAATTCGTCTATCGCTCCTGAGTCAACTAGTTCCTCGGAAGAAGATAGTTCATCAATTCCAGAGATCACAGTTAGGCAATTAAAAAGTGGATCTATGTTTTTGGTACCAGTCCGAATCCAGGACCAGCATACTACTGCAGTGGTGGATACCGCGGCTGAGGTTACCATAATATCAGACACTTTTTATAAGAAACTCTCATGGAAACCTGAGAAAAAACAGGACATTAAGTTGAGAACTGCTGGGAGAGACTTACATATGTCTTCCTTTGTGACAGAACCACTCCAGTTGCAACTAGGGTCTGAAACCTATTCGATTCCTGTGGTAGTGGGTCCCATTCAAGATGATGTTCTTCTGGGACTGGACTTCTTAGTTCCCCAGGGGGCTCATCTGGACTTGACTCAACAAGTACTGCAGATTGGATCAGATATCATTGAAATGACTCTATGCCGTTCTCAAAAGGTACCACAAGTATCAAGGATCTCGGTATCAAAGAAAACCGTTATTCCACCCAATTCGGTACGACAACTTGAATGTCCTATATCAAAACAACTCACAGATTTCATCATTGAGCCACGCCTAACAAAATCTGATCTACTGATGCCCAGGACGTACCAAAATGGAGGAAGTACCCCCATTGTGTGTCTTGTTAATCCTTCGGATCATCAAGTGGTGTTACAGCCTAGTCAAGTCTTAGGGGTTGCCATGGAAATAGATCATGTCGAATCACCCTTTGAGCAATTGACGGCTGTCAAAACAAATAGTCAACCCAACATCCCTGCTCATCTGAGAAGTCTGTTTGAAAGGTCATCCAAATTACTTCAAGGTCAGGAAGTTCAGCAATTGGCACAATTACTTACAGACTATCAGGATGTATTTGCAAAAGATGACTTGGATCTGGGAAACTTTACAGCGCTTGAACATTCCATCGACACCGGGAATGCCAAACCAATTAAACAGCGCATGCGAAGGACACCACTTGGATTTGAAAAGGAGGAGGAGTCACATCTTAAGAAAATGTTAGATGCTGGAGTCATCCAACCTTCTGTATCAGAGTGGGCTGCACCCCCTGTATTAATACGCAAGCTTGATAATACAGTACGTTGGTGTCTAGATTTTCGCGGTCTGAACGGAGTCACGAAAAGGATGTATCCGCTGATAGAAGATTGTCTGACACACTCGCGGGTAACGTCTGGTACTCAAAGCTGGATGCAAACTCAGCTTATTGGCAAGTCAAAATATCACCAATGGATCGTGAGAAAACAGCTTTCATTACCAAGTATGGTCTTTTTGAACATGTTCGGATGGGATTTGGCCTTTGTAATGCTCCAGCAACATATTCACGAGTAATGAATCTTGTGTTGAGAGGATTGACCTGGGATATTGCTCTGGCCTTCCTGGATGACATTTTGGTGATGGGCACTGATGTCGAAGACCATTTGACTAATCTCCGATCTGTATTTGAGAGGTTCCGAACGTATCAACTCAAGCTGAAACCGCGGAAATGTGAACTGTTTCAGCAGAAGGTTGAGTTTCTTGGTCGTGTGGTTAGCCAGAATGGGCTGGAGGCTAACAACGAGGGCCTTAAAGCAGTGTTAACCTGGCCTCGTCCTACTTGTACAAAGGATGTTGAAAGGTTCCTTGGCTTTGCCAATTATCACAGAATGTTTATCAAGGACTACGCCTCAATGGCAGTCCCATTGTATCAAATCACGGGTAAGAAGGCATTCCAATGGAATGATGAGCAGGAGCAATCTTTCTCGTCCTTGCGGCATGCTCTTACCCATACACCTGTGTTGGCATTACCTACCAAGGAGGACCCCTTCATCCTAGATACAGATGCCTCCAATGAAGCAATCGGTGCAGAGCTGATCCAAATTCAAAATGGTGAAGAGAGAGTGGTTTGTTTTTGCAGTTTCAGTCTGACTGCCGAACAAAAGAGATATTGTACAACCAGAAAAGAGCTATTGGCAGTAATTAGATTTACAAGACAGTTTCGACACTATCTGCTGGGACGATGTTTCACTGTTAGGACTGATCACAGCAGTCTCCAATGGCTATTAAACTTTCGAATCTAAATGGCCAATTGGCTAGGTGGCTGGAAGAATTGAGCCAATATGACATGGTAGTGAAGCACCGTCCAGGAAAACTGCATGCCAATGCTGATGGTTTATCACGGATTCCACAAGAGGATAAATGCCACAATTATAAACCAGGAATAATGTTGGAAAAATTTACCTTGTGGAGGATGCAAATATTGCACTCGAGCTCATGAAAATTGGAACAGGTTTTTCGAGGATGTAGATGATACCATACCTCTGGCCCATGTTGGGCAGGATTGCCTCTCTGATGATGACTCACCAGATGATTGCGGCCTGCCGGTCTCCTGTATGGAAATACAATCCAATGGGGAGTCGGGGTTCTTATTGAACACCACCCCAGTGGCAGTAAGACTTGTAGGAACCGACGACGGGCAGAAAGAACAATTTGGGTACTCTACTCAGGAGATAATCAATCAGCAGAAATCTGATCCTGACCTGGCAATTATAATGGATTGGATTCAAACTGCTAAGGAGCTGAGTGAATCAAGTCTCTTTCTGACCAGTCCTGCAGCGAAACACTATTGGCTGAACCGAAATTTATTTCGGATTGACAGTCAGGGATTGTTACGTGTTGATCCTCTCATAAAAGAAAAGACAACACGAGGCATGGCATCCCTGGTGGTCCCGAAATCATTACAGCAAGAAGTGCTAAGGTTAAACCATGATATAGCGGCTGCAGGACATCTTGGAATGGAGAAAACTATCTACAGAGTCAAAACCAGGTTCTACTGGCATGGCATGGTACCGGATATCAAATTGTACATAGGCACCTGTTCAGCATGTAGCCGAAACAAAGGACCTGTACGACATGCCCGGTCACCAATGATCAACTTTCATGCAGGGGCACCCATGGAAAGAGTTCATCTTGATTTCATTGGTCCCTTGCCCAAGAGCAATTTGGGTAACCAATACATCTTGATGATGGTTGATCAGTTCACCAAATGGGTGGAGTGCATAGCTTTGCCTACCCAAACGGCTGAGGTGACAGCCAAAGCTGCCGTAGACGTTTTTTATCCCGATTTGGATGTCCTTTCCAAGTATTTACGGATCAAGGAAGGAATTTTGAGAGCAAATTGTTCACTGAGCTTTGCACATTACTTCAGATACACAAAACCAGGACAACCCCATATCGACCGTCTGCAAATGGACAAGTAGAGCGATTTAATCGCACTCTCTTGCAAACCATTCGTTGCCACATTGACGCAAACCAGACAAAGTGGGATGAATTTCTGCCACAACTGGCAGGAGCATTGAGATCTGCAGTAAATCGACAAACGGGATATACCGCCAATATGCTGATGCTAGGTAGGGAAATCAATCAACCTGCAGAGCTAGTCTTCAGTGCCACTCGGGAGGAATCTCCATCTTTGGACCCCGACACGTATGTAAGTCAGCTTGCCTCAGCACTTGGTGAGGTACATCAGTTGGCCCGTAAAAAATTACAAACTACTCAGTGCCATATGAAGAGGGATTATGATTTGAGGATTATGTCCCGGAAGTTTGAAGAGGGGGAAATGGTGTATATACTGGACACTGCCTCCACTGTGGGGAAGTCCAAGAAGTTGTCTCCATCCTGGAAAGGACCAGGAATAATAACTAATAAGATTTCCAATACATTGTATGAAGTCCGGACAAGGAAGACAACATCAGTACATCATCATGACCGCCTCAAGCCTTGTCGAGATCGTGTAATTCCAAGTTGGATCCAAAGGTTTTCTAAAACCAGGAGTTCTATAGAGGCCCAAGAGGATCTTAACTTGGATTGGCTCTTCAGCAATCCAACTAATTATTGTATCTGTAACAAGCCAGATGATGGAAAGTTGATGATAGGCTGTGACCAGTGTGACCAATGGTTTCACGGAGCATGTGTAGGAATCAGCAGGAAAATAGCTCAGACTCTGGATAAATACATCTGTCCTCACTGCCAAACAGGAAGGGACAATTCACCTTAAAAGTAGAAAATTGCTATTTTTCCAGAAACATGGTATTCCAACGACGTACAAGATCTGTAGAACGTCGCGGGGCCAGGAGTCGAGAGCTGTCCACCTCTTACTGGGCTGGGGATGGACAATCAGAATCCCCGGAGTCCCTGTCAAGCAGGGGAACCACCCCTTCTTCTCCTGGGCACCAAACATCAGGAGTGGACCAGGCTCATGGGCGTGAGTCAAGATCCTTGACCCACAGGCCCCATACACCTGCACACTCTCCCTCACTTAAGCGGAGTCACCAGCCTCAGGTTTCATCACCACGGAAACGGCATTGTCCAAGCCCTGACCATAGACGAGTGGCCTCGGTGGTTTATCTCCCAGTAAACCGGTGGGATAGACCTCAAGAACGTCTACCTTCCAGAAGGCCGGCCAGGACCTCAAGCCGACGATCTCCACTCAGACAGACGGCTGTATACTATAACTCGTCCTGGCAAAGGCAACAACATTCGCCAGCGAGAGAACTCTCAAGACAAGAGAGATGTTCCTCACCTAGGAGACAAATCCCCAGAAGGCAGAAAAAACATCATTCGCCAGAGATGAGACGAGAGAGACGTTCCTCTCCGAGGAAACAGGTTCTCAGAAGGCAGGAACATCGTCCCTCACCGAGACGGGAGCAACAGCAGCCCGAACCATCCTCTTCCGCCAGGTTGATCAAGACCAATAGCAAAGGGATGAATGTGTCGATAACGAATAAGGGAGCCGCTAAATTTCACAGCAGCCATCCTCATGGCTTAGGATCCATCTGCCCCATCACGTCCTGTGGAATGCGATCAAGAACATTGCGCCATCATGTCCACAGAGCTCATCTCCCACACTGTCTTCGGGACTCGGTAAAGGCCTCGGCGGAAACAACTTCCCATATGGTAACAGCCATAGAAGATCTTGCTCGGCAGAACTTAGGAGCAGGAGCTACCTGGACGGAATTGCATCAGTTCGTCCTAAGGAATAGCCATGTTCCCAAGGACATACCTCTCAGAGGAAGCTGCTACGGGCACCTTTCCCAGCTGTGCCAGATGAAAGGTTGGGCCTTACCTCTAGACGCAACCAACCTGTCCTTGGAGAGTCCGGCTTGCTTGATCCACTGGAGGGTTTTGGCGTCACTGTTAAACGTAACATCTGAAATGGTCAGGATCCACTTCCACAACCTGGGAACCATCCTGCCACTGGCAAGTCCATCTCCGGTTGTGCAAGCCACACAATCGTCAGAGCCATCGGAGATGCGGACACCTCCACCTTCAGCATCCGTACAACAACAGCACAAGCCACCAACTCTGGAGGGACTTCCCAGGGGCTTTGACACCCACTTCCATTCAGACAGAATGCGCAGCAGGCTCCACCTGGACGCTGCCACGCCCCTGGATGAAGTCCTGGATCAAGCAGGTCAACCACTAGATGATTCCTCCTTTGATCTCGTCAGAGCCGTTCAAGTTTTTTGTGATCCTCCAACTTGGCCCCAAGATCCAACCTTTCATCAATGTTGGAAAATCGCCGTTGGACTACATCCAAAAAATGTGAGTTCCTATCGCTCTAATCAGCTAGACAAACTCAAGAGTCTGCTATCCTCACCGAACGTCATCGCCCTGGGAGAAGTTGGCCTTGACTTCACAGTAGGGAATTGGGAACAGCAGGGCAAAGTTCTGGAAAAAATCTTCAAGATGGCTGACCCGAACAAACCAATCATCCTCCACCTCCGGGGAACCGCCGAAGACCGGTATCAAAGGGCCCCAATTGAGGAATGCATTAAGATCGCATATGCAGCAGGAATCCAGCCGAACCAGAAGTTTCATCTGCACTGTTTTTCTGGATCCTGTAAAGAAATGGCCCTTTGGACCAAGAACTTCCCCGAAGACTTGGTTTGGATATACCAGAATGGTCGCCAGATTTGACGAACACCAACTCTCAGCCCTGCGGTTCCTGAGTGCGAAACGGTTTGTGCTAGAAACGGATGCCCCCTACCTATGGCCTCGCCCAGGTCACCGAGGGATTAACAGCCCAAAATTACTCGGTGATGTGGCAACTCTGGTGGCTAAGGCTCGACAGAATACGATGGCTAATATCCTAGAGCGCGCCTACATCAATGCTAGGCAGCTCTACAGGGTATATAAGAACACTCTGTAACATGGGATTCCTAATCTGACTTGGTCAGGACTGGAACTGAGTCCATCGATCCGGTTTAGATTCTAGGACTAATTAATTCATCTAATAAGTTATGTGAACCGACTCGGTTGCCACCAAACAACCTGGTTTGGGATTTTCTTATTTAGATGTGTACTCTAAAATAACCATGAGTTACGTGAACTGTCTCGGTTGATAGCACAACACTGCTGCCCAACCCTGCAGGGATTTTTCATGTCCTGATGAGGTCACCTGTTGGATGCTCCCTAAGCCAGACAGACTCACTGGATTCCAAGTGGGGATGCAAGTCCAGAAAAGAGGGAGGAATGTAGTGATCAGTGCTTCCGCACTCGTACATCGGGTTTCATCGGATTGGCCATCCAGTGATACTCGCATGTTTCCGGGTGTGATCGGGGCACGTGATCAACTTACCCGCCAAATCTGACAGGTGACAGATGACAGATCAAGACGAGACACTGAACCGAACGGACGATAATCACAGTATACTACAGAACCCTTGATCTCCCCATCATCTACGCTTACGAAGCAAGGTAAGCGCCTTTCCCTATCACTAGGCTTTCACAACACATGTGTCTGCCATCGTCCACATTGCTAGTCTGACTGTGCATGCCTGACTGCTCTCATTGTAAACAACCTTCGTTTTGTAAATCTGCTCTCATTGTGAATATCAAGACTCTGGTGAGTTAATATTTTGTATTTGTGACCCAATATTTAATATTTCGGACTCAATTGCAGTGAACTAGAAATCTGTATTGTCATCCATTGTAGCTTGCTCATTGTTTGTTCAATATATTATTGAATATTTTAGACTTGTCTGTGTTCTATTTTGCTGGTTCAAAGGGGACTCTTATACCTTTTGTCACGTCAAATTACTTGACCATAAATTTTCCGCCATTCATCCCCCACATAATACACCTGAAATACAGATTTTACACATGGCATTGCATTGTTGGTTTCAGCCCTGGCGCTGACATTGACTCTGACTATGATTCCTGGATTGAAGAGTATTGTATGAATGCGGATGTGTTTGTTCTGGTGGCCAATGGAGAGTCCACACTAATGCAGACAGTGAGTACACTCCACAGACATTGGGGGTTGACATTCACCGATGTGTTGGTGCTGTGGTTCACACTTTTACTAATGCATGGTTTCACGATTTGTATTGATTCGTTGCCTGCTAGTTAGAGTCTATGGTGCTATATAAGAGAATACTAAGATTGCATATTGCTGATATAGAAGGGGTAAATTTCATTTCCAGAGCAGAATTCTGAAACTATTTAACCCATCTTCACCAAATTTGCTATACTGCCTCTCCATATCATATAGATGTACCTTTTGGGGGTTTGAGGTGTTTTATTTCCATTTTTGTTGTTGTTGTCTTCATGGCAACAATATGGACTTTGTCATTTTGAAGGGAAAAGTTTGTTTCCGGAGCATACTTCTGAAAATAATTGACCCATCCTCACCAAATTTGCTACACAGCCTCTCCATATCATGTAGATGTGCATTTTATGGGTTTGAACGTTTCTTTCAAATTTATTTTGTTCATATTTATGAGACAGATACGGCATACCGAAGATCTGGTGTTGTTCTATGCTACTATAGTTTCCATGATATCACCTATCTTGTGCTTTATTTGATTCCAGTGAAAAAGTTACATGCATAACTGAATGTGATAAAATTATATTCTGATTCAGTACTTTGTTGAAATATCTATTGACAACTTCGTGACTGAAAAACAACAGATTCATTCATGCATTTCGAAAGAGAATCATTTACAATTCTGAATGTTTCGTAAATTAAAACTGTGGAGTTGTTGATTTGTTGATAAGCAATTAAGTTTAATTGAATATAAAATATTAAATGAAGACTTTACAAACATAATAACTCACTATCAATAATATGTATTCACATACTAGAGATTTTGAAATTGGAGGAATCAAATGAATTGTTTGAGGTCTCAACGTTGAATTGGGGGAAGGGGGAGACATATTTTACGAGTAAATACACTTTCTAGTTTAGTAATGATATATCACTCCTGCAGGAGAAGAACTTCTTCCTCAAAGTGAGCTCTCGCCTTTCGAAACCCAACATCTTTGTACTACAGAACCGCTGGGATGTGGTCACTGTGGAGGAGGATGTGGAAGCTGTGGAAGCTGTAAGTACAGTCCTATCCCACTGACGTGGCACACTTCTGTAAATGTGTGGCAGACACAGCTTGATTCGCAGCTGGGAATTTACCTAACTAATTATATTGCAATTGTCTTGTTTAGAATACTGTCAACCAATAACATTGTTTGTTACAATTTTGGCTAATTAATTTACACTGACAATGATGTTTATGAATATTGTGATTAGATATATATTTACTTGTGATAGTGATAACTTGTATATGAGGACGTCAGTCAGTAAGCCTAGTATACACAGACAAATGTCTGCGTACGCGTAAGCATGGTTGGATGGTGGGATGTGTGAGTGTTATTTGATGACGTTTCAGTTTCAACTTATGAACAAGTGATTGTGGCATTGGAATTTAATATCTTATAAATCTTCTTACATATATATATATCGCACATATCCAGGCAACTACTGCTTACTCCTTTTAAGTGCACAGGGTTGTGTACTGCACACTAGGGGTTGTGACAACACTGAAAGAGTCTGCACACAAAGTTGACTCCAAGGTTTTTACACCCGGTCACAGGTGGACTCGATCCCGGCACCTCAACCTCGCTGGATCACTAGCCTGGCACCTTAGCCAGCTCTCCCATTGCGCTCAAAACAGGGCGCAGTGGGCGAGCAAGTAAGATTGAGTCATATAGTTATGTATCATTTATTCAACCTGTCGCAAAACAGCATTCAGTTACACTGCAGTTGTGGTGCCATTATACTATTTTTTGGTTGGAGGCGCAAACGCCTCTATGATATACACTTGGAAAATTCAAATGAACTTTCAGCCTCTAAAACTTAGTCTCTTTGTATTTTGGCAATTCCAAATGACAATAATGTAGCAAAATTATTAGGAGCCACTTGACCATGTGAATAATCCGAAATAATTATCCTTACGTCATTATCTTTAAGCTAATCTTTACGTCATAGTTAATGCAGAAATCGAGGTTTCTATACATCTATAATTAAAACACATTCTGCGTTATTACTGATCGTTAATAAACTGACTTAAAAACAATTTATACACGTAATATTTGCGATGCGAGTACCAATCTCTAATAGAAGCAAACCTCTAATAGGTGGAGGTATAGTCATCGTGATGCTCTTGAAATCAGCTTTACAGCCAAATCATCTCACGTCCATCTCACTAAATTTCTTAATTTAGACAGGTGCCTCCAGCGGTGCCTTTTAAAAAAAAAAATTGTATAACATTACTTCCAAAGTAAACGATTGCAAAGATTCTCTCACCAAGTCTGTCAAAAATATGATCCCCGCTCGATCACAACGGAATCTTTTGACTAATTCATTGTAATCGTAAAATGTTAAACGTCCATATGTTCTCGAAAATGTCTGAGGCGCGGCTGCATTGTCTGGCGGCCGCCATTTTGTTGAGTTAAGAAAATTCTTAGGTCGACTTAGGAGTCCTCTGTGACGACTCCTAACATTTGCTCTAACAGTAAAGAGGCTTTATAACTAGATCTCTTTAAAGGGCAAATTTACTCGAAAATTAACCTTTTGTCTTGCACTTCTTCTACATAAAATGTGTTTGTCAAGCAGTCTCATAGCCAAAACAGTACAGATATCATTAGTAACTACTTTACTTTTTGCATTACATTAATCCATATTTTGCACATTTACTGAGAGTTCTATGTCCACAATAAACGCACCATTGCTTATGTCCCTTGCAAATGACGTCATTGGTGCCCAACTTATAAACAAATGACGTCATTATGCTCTATTATACTCTATTTTACCCTGTTTCACGTGGTGCAGGTACAGGTGTGGTTCTTGTGTCTCGATGCGCTGGCTACGGTTTTAACCTTCGTGTTGCCTGGCCGTCAGCTGGCTTTGTGTTCCGGTCAGTGCCACAATGTAATCACCTTTGGAACAAAGGTATACATTGTACGAAAAGTGTTACCACGTAACCAACTTGTATAACATTCAACCTGTGTCAGTCGCCTTCCAACAGCATCTTCTTACAGCAATTTAAGCAAAACTGAAATGTATAATGCATTACATCTAGCTAACCATCGGTGAATGTGCCGGCACTCTAAGTTGCTACTTAACCCTTATCCCACCAAGCTTTCTTCATATCCATTACTGCCAAGTGGGCCTGTGAGGCCCGGTCAACCACTTTTGATTTATATCAAAGGACCTGACAAGGTATATTACATTTTTCTTCACTTTTAGAACAGTCACTGCTGTCACTAACATTTCCTTCAAAGGGAGGTTCGAACTCAGAATCTGATCCACTGTCAGAAGGTACTGCATCAGCACCACTACCATCATCATCTGCAGCAGCAGGTTGGAGCTAAACGTCGCAAAAATTGCTTCTCAAACTTCCTTAAGTGGCATTTAGAAGCTGGTGTGATGAAGAGGAACACTTTTTATGGATAGACAACTTCTTTATTGCAGTGGATGCGACGTTTCGGTGTAGATTCTAACACCGTTATCTAGCAAATGATAAACAACATCTGCACCGGGAGAATATACATGACGGGTATTTGGGTTTATACAATAGAAGAGGTTGATGTGTGTTGACATGAGGCTTGTTGTGATAAGAAATGATTGAAACCAGTAGACAAAGGGTGGGTTATTCTTGATTAGTTAATCGTAAGCTGTAGGGATGTAATAACGTTGATTACTGTTGATTGTCGGGTTGAGCCGTTTGATGTTGATTACCTCTAAGAGTTCTCTTATCCCATGGCCTCTCCCCCGTCATCAGCGAGATCTACATGACGGAACTCGAAGACAAAGCCCTCCTCACCTCAACCGTCACACCAATATGCTGTTTCCGAAAAGTAGATGACCACAGAACCCTCCTGTAAGAACTTAGAGAGAAGATGAGATGGGTCCGACTCTACACAAGCAACACACAGTTCCCTAGACTACCCTACGCCCGAGGTCCACAAAGACTCCATCAAAGACCATCCCCTAGTCTGTTCCAGGAACACTGTCCATTACAATACCACCAAGCATCTCGACCGGCGACGACCGCCTTCTCGCCCCTCTAGGTAAATTAGCTAAATCCTTTATCATGGACTCCGACGAATTCTGCAACAAGATCAGCACCATCACCCAGCCGGGCAAAATAATGAGTTGATTGATCTATTCACCAATGTACCAAGAGACGAAGCCCTAGCCATCATTAGAAGAAAAGTTGAAGACATCAGTGCTAAACCTAGATACCCATCTCACAGTAGAAAGCATCACCCGCCTCATCCATTCCTATATAAGTTCAACATACTTCACCCGGTCTGATAAAATCTACCAACAAACCCATGGTCTACCTATGGGATCTCCTGTCTCCCCCATCATCACAGCGATCTACAAGACAGAACCCGAAGACAAGACCCTCCTCACCTTACCCACCACAGCAATATGCTGGTTCCGGAAAGAAGACGACATTTGCTTGATAACGGTGTTAGGATCCACACAGAAACGTCGCATCCACTGCAGTAAAGAATTTGTCTATTCATTAAAAGTGTTCCTCTTCTCAAACTTGCTCGACGATTCATCTTTGACTGGCACTTACTATGCAATGTATTCATAAGGAAGCTTTATCAAGTGGCGTTGTCTGGAAGCTGAGTGGGGTGACCGGGCCTCAGAGGCCTGGCAAAACAGTTCATGCAATAATATTTGCTTTTTAAAATTAATGGTAATTATTTCAAAATAATAATAATTATTATAAATCGAGACATGGGAAATGTAAAAATGTTTATCTCACTTTTTAAGCAGAGATTGTCTGATTGTTTGAACCAAGATTGGCATCATACTGTTTCACTTTTGAGCAAATGTCCGACATACTGCCAATTTAAGACAATGTTGCAAGTTGAAAGATATCTGTCCTTAGACATTCCATGGTATTACAAACATGTTTTAGCCAGTTCAGATGTAATAACTTCAAACTTGCAACTGAAACAGGGAGGCATAATAATACACTGTATGGACTTTGTTTATATTGTCATAGCAAAGGCATGTCATTAATTGAAGATGAATGGTTTGTCAACGGTATAATGATGCAAGAATTGAATGTTTTCACCATACCTATATTAGAAACCCGTGTAGGGAAAGTTTTGTAAGACTTATGTCATGTAAGGATGAAAATGTTTTGATAAGTATTGCTAAGTTTCTGATGAAGGCTCGTAAAATTATAAATTGCATAAATTTCAGTAAATATTCTACACATTAAGATCCATATGTTATTTCTTAGATATATTTTGCCCATACACTGTACACTGTCAGACACTTTACCATGTTTACAAAGCATAATTGTATGATTGTTACAACATACTGTTACCATATGACACCTGTGCAAATTGAAAGATATTTTTCCTTAGATATATTCTTCAGTATTATAAACATGTTTTAAGCTAGTCCAGATATAATAGCTTCCAGCCTGCAACTGTAACAAGGAGGCATAATACACTGCACTGTAATAGACTCTGTTTATATTGTTATAGCAAAGGCATACCAGTAGTTTAAGATGAATACCATTTAACTGACAATGTTTAAAAGATGCATACGATTGAATGTTTTCCACCATACCTATATATTGGTAACCCGTGTAAGGATAGTTTTGTTAGACTTGTCATGTAAGGATGATTTTTTATATGTATTGCTAGGTTTCCTGATTAAAGCTTACAAAGATCCACATGTTTTCTTTGGAAAGGTTTATTATGCCTGTACATTGTGCAAAAATGTTTCTGTAATTTTCAAAGGCAACAATGTATAATTGTTACTGGTTTTACCAGCATCAAATATAATGTAAAATTATTCTGTAATATGGGCCATGTCCTTATATACTGAAATAAAACTGCCTTCCCTCTGCCTCCCCTGTGCCTTGTCTGTACCATCATATGCAAATAACGACGTCCGTTCAGCATTGCTTCTGCGTTCTCGCCGACCGTTGTGCCTTCCTTGTGCATTCATTGGCGTTCGCTCTGCCTTCTCTCTGCGTTCTGTGGCGACTGTTCGGCAACCTGCATATTC